TTACCATGTATTAAACTGATCTACTGCAGTTTTCTCTTCTTTCTTTGCAAAGCAGTGCTGTCTGCTCCAGCTGTTTTTCTAGCGTGCTGTTGTGGATTCTGACCTAGTCCGTTTACTGATCTTGAACAGTTTCTTGTCAGCAGGGGCCAATGGATACGGCTCCTGGATGTGCAGAGTAAACTAGAGAGACCTCTTCATATGACTGTCTTTAAGGAGTGATGGCAGGGCTCCTGCCCTCCTCTGATCTGCGGCATACCTCATAATCATTAATGTGTTAGCTAAGAGGACGGCACAGCATGGACATAAACAAGAAAGAGAAAACGGTATGAGGCAGCAGAAAGAGCCAGTCATAGCTCATCCTGCCGTCTTGCATAAAACAAACAGTGCTGGGGAGAATCATGAGGCATTGTCCAACCAAGCAGTGAATCAAATGTTCTGCTTTGCTGCCTTTTTCAGTAAGTACCTACACATTATCTTTATTCTTTAATTCTGTATTTTAATATTTATTGAAAATGTGGTTTGTCCCAGAAGAAGTGGTGACCAGTATCTTCCTCTAATCACAAGTAGCTACATCTTGCGAGTATAATCGTTTAAACTTGGGTTTGTACTGCCTCCTGTGGGCCTGGCCTGTTGAGCAGTGATGTCTGCAGCATGTCAAGGCAAGTGCATCCCAGCCTCTCGCTGTCCCCCCCGAACCTGCTGGAGTAGTAGAACTGACCGATATTGTGCTTCCAACTGGTTCTCGGATAAAATGCCGACTTTAAAACCTGTTATCTCACTGAAAGAAATTTTAAGCATTTGCTTGAAAAAGCTCAGTTTCATACACCAAATAATGATAAGAATTAAATAGTTGCAACAAAAAAAATCCATGCTTTAGTTATAGCACGTCCTGTCTTCCTGATAGCATGTTTACCCATTGCATCTTGCCAGCTGAGGAGATTGGCATTAAACCTAGACATTACCTCATCGTCCTGGGCAGACAGCCCATTTCAATGCTAAACAAGACTGCAGGAGCGCAGAACCCAATACCTGGTGATTAGCTGCTCAGCCGCAGAGCCTGCCTGGAGGCGTTTTTCTCCCCCCAGCGCTCTCCGTCTCCGGCTCTCTCTGCAAGGTGTGTCACTCTGCAGCAGCGCGGAGCCTCGGTGCCTTCAAGGGCAGAGCGTTGCAGGAGGCCGGCGGGCTTCCGCACCAACAGGTGCGCTGCAGCTAACACCTGTGCGGACGGGACAAAGGGACACCCAGGGCAGGACGCAGGGGAATGTGAGCAGTGAGGTGGGGGCAGCTGGGCACTCCATCTGATAAGTTAGCTGTCTATCCGCCGCCAAAGGCCTGGTGATGACAACTTAAATCCTGTTCTTTTAAAAACGCAGTACGAAATTGACACTGCTTCACCTCTTAATCCAGTTTTAGAAATGTCCCCCCATTTAATTTGGTAACCTTTGAAACGGATGGTTTTAAAATGAAATGACCCCTTTATAAGCATGTTACTCATTGGCTTGGAAGGGAGAGCATGATCTGCAAAGGTTTTCCTCTCCTCAATGGAAAGGCGTTGCTCGTTTTTCAGTCCGTTGCTCAATAACTCGGAGAATGTGGCAATAAGAGCCAGTGAAGCACGGCTAGAATGTTGGCTGCTCATCCCAGCAGCATCAGCTGGTTAAATTCTTAAGAGGGACAAAAGGTCTGTCTAGGTTGTCGGAGCAGAAGGCACTCCTCCGTTGTGAAAGGTTTTTAAGAAAAATAAGTGACGGTTCTAAATGCAAGGAGGGTGTAATACTAAGGGAGTGAAGGATATTATATTTGCAAAATGGCCAGACGGTGGACAGTTTCTGGGACACCCTGGCTTCTTTCAGAAAAATGGCTGAAAAAGATCCTTGTATCTATTAGGTTTTTTTTTTTAAACCAAGCAATCTAGATTGACCAACTGGCCTACTCTTTTGTACTCCTACTTTTTTTTTTGCAAACTAAAGAAGCGTTTATTTCTTTTGCTGTTTGAGAGAATCCTGCTGCACGCTAGCAGCTATATACCCAATTCAGCTGTCTCCCTTTAATGACTGTGGATGATTTCCCTAGAAGGTTTCAATAAAATGGTCAGATCAGACTGAGGAACACAAGTGCAGAGATAGCAAGGCAAGTTATCACTGTCTCTGCAACGTTTAGACAGTGTCAAAGGAGCAGTTTGCTATATTTAAATATGTGCATATATTTGGCAAGAACTGATTAGCAGTAGGCTTGATGCACAGTGCTAGCTTATTGTATGAAATGTTAAATACATCTCGTATGCATTCATATAGACGAAACATGAATTAAGTAATGGCGACTTCTCATTTAGAATCCAGTCTGAGTAGAACCATGTGTAAGTTTTTTATATTGAAGAGCATACACAGAGTCATTGCTGTTAAATACAAAGTGACCTTGCAAGCTGACCTTTTCGCAGATATGGTGCGGATGTGCTCATGGAATATATTTGTGTATATTCATAAGCCAAAGGGCTTGTAGCTCCGGTTTAAAGCAGTCTTCTGTTCACCAGAGCTGTACAGGCCAGTATTGTGGTTCACAACAGTCTTTAACCCCTACTATGCCTCCAGAGTTTTTGTTATCCCCTGCGAGGCCTTTGCCAAGCTCTTACACTTAAAGGCACACACCCCTTAACCAGTCAGCATCTACCATGCGGTGGTCTGGGCTCTCAGGGCTCACTGTGCTGAAGGAGGGTGAAAATCTGTCCCTAGTGAATTATAGAAATTGCTCTCCCCGCGCGAACAGAACGAGACGTGGTTCGAAAATGTTGTTGTTTTATGCTTGATGGCGCTTTCCTTCGTAAGTGGCTTGTGTGGAGCTCACGAAATAGGGAATAAAAAACCCTGCTGGGATAGCTTAAATAGCATATACTTTTCAGAAGTAAACGCAGCGTCGGTATAACTAGTGGGCATACGCCCACATGGCAGAGCGGAGCTGCCACGGAGGTTAAAACCGCGACTGCCCACTCGTGAAGCTCGTACCACAGGCTTCACGGCACACCCACTGCCTGAGCAGACGGAGCTGAAGGTCACTGTGGGTAGGATTTCAGAAACCACTTTGCCACAGCAGTAAACCGAACTGACATCTCTCTCTCTCTCTCTCGAGGGAAGCAGTCTCTCGCGTTTCAAAAAAAATCCCGGCATTTCGTTTGTTCGGGCTTTTTGGGGGGTTTATTTTGCCCGACCGAATTGAAATGAAACCGCAAATCTTATGTCGCCTCAAGTTCTAAACGTAGCTTAAATAGTTTTTTGACCCCCCTTCAGTTTAATCTCCCGAGGAAGTGATGTGGTCCCTGACGGCGGTGGAGCAGTGCTCTGTCCAGGGCGCGAAGCCAGGTGGCGCTGAGGGACTGAAGCCGGCGAGAGGCCGACTCCTTGCGCTTCCTGCAGGAGTCGAGCGAGCAGATGCCTCTATAAGAAATCAAATTATGCCTCGGCGTAATATTGCTCGTATTAGACCAGTTTTTAATGTCGAGGTGTACTTAATGATGCATGGCGTAATGCTTTCCAGAAAAGTATCGTTTTGAAGTATCCCAACCCACTCGTCCTTTTTTTGTTTTTTTTGCAGTGGTACTGTTACTGCAGTCAGGACGTTTTCTGGGCCTTTAGTTCCTTGATAAGTTAGTGTTATCAAGGGATCTTTTTTCCCCCACCTCCTATGAGCCGTCGTTTTTCAACAAAACTGTCACGTACTGTTTTGACATTTAAATTTCAGGCCTTTTGAAGTCGGCTCCTCTGTAGGTGGGGGTAGCTCGAGTAAGCCTGATAGCCGTAGTGCTGCTCTGATAGCTCATTACGCCAATGCAACAAAAGGCGTACCTGCTCATTTAGCTTTTCCAAGTTTATTCCTTTTTATACCTTACGGAGCACTCGTTCTATCTGTAAGACGTTTTAAAAAGAGCAATAAAGGGGGATAAAAAAACAGCTGCATAATGCAAATCAACCAACGTTTATCATAGTACCCTGCCCGTCTAACCTCGGTATTAACGAGCACTGCAAAAATTGTAACGCCTGCTTCTTGCATCTAGCGACCCTGAAGTGTTTCGACTTTTCTGAAACCATGCATGAGTAGAAATCTGCTACTGATAACGCTATTGCACACGGCAATTAAACACTTCTGCCGCATTAAAAATGAATTGGTAACCCCTTTTTCCGTAGGTTGGAACTTGGGTCGTCTGCGTGGTGATTGCACTTTTTTTTTTTTTACTGCTTCAGTTATTTATAGACTGTGTAGACAGGCTTGGGTAGGAGGGGGGTCCGACACATCTGCTGAAGATCAGCTAGACTGCGGGGTCGGCCCAAGGTTAGCTCCTTCAATGACTGCCTTGATTGGTCCTGGCCGCTCTAATGAGCGAGTGTAATTCTAACTGGCCCCCCAGCCGGCTAGCCCGTCCTCTCTCCCACCGCCATTGTCACCTCCGGTCTCTCTCTCTCCGCGTCGGCTATCAACACGAACCCCCGCCTCCTCGGTCTGTCTGGCAGTGCTGGGTTCCCCCCAGTGGTACTGGGAAAGGGGAGGGGGGGTTGGGGAGGAGGGTATCTGGGCCTGCCCACATGATCGCGTAACAGTAGTGCCTTCTTTTGAATGAAGGGGGGAGGGAGAGAGGGCAGAGACTGCAAGACGTGGGGACCTGCATCAGCACCACAGCACCGGGCGGCAGCGACCGTGGCATGAAGTCATGTGGGGCCGACGAGGAAGACTCTGACAGCGGGCTGCTCTTAGTTGCCCTGCCCGGCTCCCCCCCCCTCCCCCTACCCCACCCCACCACCCGTATTACCCCTGGGCTGCTCTCCGCAGCTCGTCCCCGGTCTCCCCTCTCCCCTGTTCCTCATGCAAAACCTAACGGCCCGGGCCAGCCCCGTCAACGCCAACTCCAATGTCATTTGCTCCTGCAACTGCTCTGGTTCCCAGCGCCAGGGGATGGAGATATGTGAGTATACACCCCCCCCGGGGGGCCGTGGTGCGGTGTGTGCGTGGGCTTCACGATTTTTTTTCCCCATGTCGGGCGTGTTGGAAGAGGAGACTCGCCGGTGTCGCACGGTCTTGGATCCGCAGCTGCTAATCTCCACACTTGCCCAAGTTTGAATACGGCAGTGGGTTTCGCGAGTCGGGCGGGCGGGAGGACGGTTAACCGGAGTCCACAAACCGTCGAGGTGTCTTTACAGCAACGGACGTGTTGTGGGGTTCATGCGTCCGCACTGTCCTGACGTTCAGCTGGAAACGACTGGGCGCCCCGGACGCTGCGTTACGCGTCTGCTCCAGGTTGCTTATGGGGGAGTGTAGCCAAGTACATCATTCGCCTATTTTGTTCTATATTTCAGATATTAACCGGCCGAGGAAAAGGCAAACGCAGCGGTGGTTAATTTCACGGCTGTTAAATGTCACTTCATCTCTCTCTTGCGGGAGAACTCCAGCTAGTACTGGGCTTTAACATTCCCTGCCGATGCCTTTTTATTGCAGTTTAGTTTTGAAGTGCCCGTAGACGGACCTATTCCTTTGCATGCAGTTCGTGGGGTTTTTGTTTTTAAATAAAACGTCAAGAGAAATATAGACACGACGCAGTGTGTCCGCCGTATGTCTCCTCTTGTATCGGCGTCTTCTGAGTACGATGAGGGCAGGATTGCGGCCGCTTCCCCCCTGATGACGGTGTAGGCTTGTGGCTTTATCGCACCGTGTTGTTTTATGACGAGTTCAGATGCTGTGAAGGATGGCATTCTGTGACTGACTTGAATTAGCGGAGGAGCGAGACGTCCGCCCTCCCCCACAGTCGTGCAGAAGTCGGCTGTCTGAGCCCGGGTGAAGACAAAGGGCCGGTAAGAATGAGCTGGTGGGAGGTAGAGGGACTCTGACAGGGACTGTGCTGTCTGCAGCCAGCAGTTATGATAAATGGCCAGACATGTTTGCTAATGGGGACTGAAATTAAAAAGAGAGAGACTTTTGTTATAGACTCACAAAGGAGTGCCTGATAGAGACGAACCCTCTTCTGGTTAGGAAAGCAGTGAATTTACTCATTTTTGAAATGACTTTTCAGGGTGTTTTTTTTTGGCAGAAGTGGAAATTAACTTAAGGGTTTGTAAATATAAATGCTGGGGGTCAGCTTGAGACATACTTATGCTTAATTATTGGTACCTGCTTTTAAGAACCATATTCATTTTGAAAGAACTTGTCATATCCCCATTCTTCAGACCTACAGCTTTCGAATTTTATTCTAAATTTGCTCCAGATTTAGTGGGGTGTTTCCAACTCGTTTTGCGAACGATGACATTTGAAAAATTTGCAGGACAAAATATTACTTGAGTGTTGGATTTTTTTTTTCCCCACTTCCTGCCCTGTATGGAAAAATATGCTTTCCCCAGTTTTAAAATCACTTCTACGTAGTTTGCGCTTGTGTCCTTTGGTTCGTATTTCATTCCTCATTCCGATGAGATCCACTGGGTTGTCAGTGCCTTTGGGGATTTTGAATACTTCTCTCGGGTCAATGTTCATCTTCTCTGTTCAAAACTGAAAAGGGTTAAGTTCCTTAAGCCTGAAGGATGTAGGACACCCCCTTAATCATTGTGCTGTATCTTGCTCCTTTTTTTTGAACTGATTCCAGAGCAGCAATACATTTTCTCTAATGAGTGACCATGATTTCTGCAACGTATTCTAAATGAGTTCTTACTAGTGTTACACAATTTTCACGTAACATCCCTTGATTTAAATTCTTTGCATCTAACAAATTCAGATTTTTAAATTGCATATATATATTGCGCAGATGTAAATGGTGTCAACTTAGGAGACCTACATCTTTTTCACAAGAAGCCTCTTGTTTCTTGGTGTTTCCCCGTTTTGTATTGACGGTTTGTTGCCTGCACACACAACTTTGCAGTTATCTGCACTAAATGTCAATCTCCTCATCACCACCTCCGTTCAGAGCTAGAGAGGGTTACGTCCTAAGCCTTCAATTTCTTTTCAGGCCTTGTGTAAAATGTACAGTAGATCAAGGATCAAACGACAGGAGTTGGTTCATTCCGGAGGGTTGTCTCAGGGAACCCAGACAAGGATACAACAGTTTAGCCCTGTTAGGAGTCGTCTTTGACAGTTTCAAAGGTTGAAGGCAATGCTGGGCTTTAAGAACCTGACGTTTACAAACAGGGAAGCTCTTTTTCCCCCCATCTTCAGTAGCGTGTTTGCTAGTAGCTAAGTAATCAGAGAATCTTGTCCAACCTTGAGAAAAGATTGCCAGCCATTTTGTCAAAATCAGTCGTGTTCCTGATCTTATAACTTTGCACAAAGATGTTTTTTTTTTTTACTCTTCTCAGGTTTAAAGGTACTGCTCCTTAGTTTACATGATTTAATGAATCGGCACATAAGGTGGTAAAAAATGAAAAATCGAGCCTGTCCGTCCATCCATTTCAATGTCAGTCAGTCTGTGCCCTCACTTTAGTGCTGCTAAGAGAGTCTTGGTACAGCTTAAACTCCATAGTTAAGTTATATAACTCCATATTGGGATAGTGTTGGTTTAAATGTAAATTTTTTGCCTGTAACTGTCTTTTTACACTATAAACTAGAACCAACTCGATACTACCACCGGGCACTTCTGTTTTGGTATGAATTCCTGATCTCTAAATTGCAGAGTTTATTCTGGAGCAGATATTGTAATTGAGTGAGCTTATCAAGCCTTCCAATTGAAGAGTGCTTTATCTTTTCCAGTGTCTTTCATACAATCTTTGAGTAAAACGATGAGTGAAAGAACTGGCAGCTTCTATCGATCATCTTCAGGCCTATACAAAACAAAGACAGTAGGAGGTAAAATTCATCCATGGTTTTAGCTCCTGATGAGGCTATGAAATTGAATAGAAAACTATTCCAAAGACCTGCATGGTGGTGCAGTTGTTGGCATTCCTGCCTCACAGTGCTGGGGCCCTGGGTTCAAGTCCTGGGGTGCTCTGTGTTGTATGTTCTCCCTCTGTTTGCATGGGTGTTTCCCCACATTCCAAAGACATACTGGTAGGTTAACGTGCTTTGGGAAGATTGGTCCTGATGTGTCTGTGTACCCTGCGATTGACTTGCAGCCCAACCAAGGTGCCTCGCTCTGATTGTTTACCACCAGGATAGGCTCCAGCTCCCCTGTGACCCTGTATTGGATAAGTGTATTACAAAATGATGCATGCAAGACTGATTAGAATAAAAATGAACATACTGAAACACGAGTGCAAAGACATGGTAAATAGTGATCATTAAAATCTCATTAGATATGGTTTTTAAATAAGCAAACAATTTCAGTCTGTGATTGTGTGGGAAAGATGAGGATGGATGCTAAGTATTTTTTAAAAGACAATTCAGTTTTGCAAATAAACTAAATTCTTGAAATGAAATTCATAATAGCAGTATCTTTAAATTATTGGGGAGTCCAAAAGGAATAAATATTAAACATTCATGTTAGTGCTTCTCCGAACTAAAATCCCATGTGTTCCTTGTACGTGGCAGAAATTCTCCCCACCAGGCCTTGCATCTCTTGGAAACCAGATAAAAGAAGTTTAGCAGCAATAAAAAATAAGATGACTTAATATACATTTTTTAATTTATATATTCTATTTTTTGTGTGTTTATTAATTACATATACATAGACCTGTGATGTTTTGTTACTTTTTCTCCTACAACAATATTTCATTTGAGCAAGCACTTAAATGTTCCTCAAATTCTAGTCAGGTCTTCATAATTTGATTTGGAGGTGTTAATTCCTTTCTTGTAGTTAGTGTGATGCATTACCCCAAGACACAAATCCTCTGTAGACTTTGTGAATGTGATGTCATACCCATGGTTATCACGGGATATTACCACGGCTCAGAACTGCACCCATTCCACAGTTCACTGTCAAATTGCTTCATCTGATACTAATCGGTGCTCATGCTTTTTAAAAAGAAAATATAGTATAGATGCGTTCTATAACAATTGTTCTCGATTGTATATAACAATTGTATCTTGTCTTCTGTATACAGAAGGAAGTCAGCATTGTACTGTACTGTAATGGAACAGGGTGCAAGGTCTGTTAGCCCCAAGGTGCCAACCTCTTGGGTGCCATTGTGGTAGGTTTTGCTTGTTCCCTTCTTGAGGGTCTGATGTTTGTCCTGTAGCTATAGGCACTTCTGCTTGGAGGGGCCCTTTTCAAAAAGCCGCTCCTAATGAGGACCCATAATTTCTATAGCTGTTATAAATAATGCTACCTTTTGATTATCAAATAATAAAAGCGGAATTATAGGTCTGCCAAGCCACATATTGTTGAATTCGATTCACTCCGTTAAGTAGTACGGGGCTGGGTGTGGGAGGGGAGGGTGTAAAGAGAAGGGTTTTCTGAGGTTTTGCATAGTGTCCAAGGACCTGTGGTCCCCAGACTTCTGGTTGAAAGCCAGAACAGAGGTTTGTTTGGTCTGGTGGGGCATTTCGTTATTTCGAATGTGATGACACTGGAAATTGATTACTGATTCGGTATGATGTTATGCTACCATAGGGCTGTTTGAGTTGCTTGGCCACTCACAGTAAAGGGGGGGTGGGGTGGGGAGGAAGGCATTTATTTCTGCACTGCATCATTATGCTTACAAAGAGGATCACATCGCCAGGAACCTTGCTTCCCGTGTTGTAGGTTGTGACGGAGGAGAGGAGGCATGGTTGGTTTTACACACCCCAACTGGCAGAGAATGATGGATCGCCCTCTGCTTCATCTTTGTGGAGTTAATGGTTTTGCGACACTACAAGACGGGGGCATTTAGCTGGGACTGCGAGGTTCGGCCCCTACCTCATCACGATTCCAGTTTGGGACGAGCATTTCAAATTGTGCCTGGAGTTGAGGCACAATTCCCACACATTTTCTAAAATGAGGGCACGTAGGCGAACGATACATTTCTTTAATGGTGGGGGAGGGGGGGTGAAATAACATGGAATTAGATGGAATCGGATGGAAATGTCTTTTTTTTCCCAGGGAAGGCAGTGGTCAGTTCAATCCCAGCTGCTGCACATAAGTTGACTTCCCCAATCCATGGAAGAAAGAAATTTGTCACGCAATCCTTATTCGGTTATTTTTTTCCCCCCCTTGATCGTTCAGCTGAGAGCTTTAAGAGTGCAGTGGATGAGAGATCCTTTTCTCAGTGAGGCTCCAGAATGCTTCGAGAGAGGGTCGATGCTTTCTGTGTCTGTGTGGCCTCGCCAGCCAGGCCAGCTGAAATCGGCGGCAGCGCTGTAAATCAGGCGAGGCACAGACAGTCAGCCTTGACATTGACCATGAGGGTTCTGTCTGCTTCTCTCACGCAGTGCCACACAGAGACCTTTAGTCCCTAGACGGAATAATAAACAGTCTCACCCACTGATTACCATTTGTTTTTTTGTTTCCCAAGATAGGCACAGTGCAGGCCAATTGTAACATAGAATATATTCAGCTATGGTTACATTTAAAAAAAAAAACTTTTTTTAAAGGCCTTTTGTCTTTAACCACAAAGCTAAATATTTTCTTTGCAAAGACTGAACGGGGGATGCCTTCAACCCTGACCCCCAAAATGAGCGTTTTCCTGTAGAAGCATAGCTGATGGGTGAAATCGTAGCTTTCCACACGTTCCCAATTAAAATCTGCCGTTTTGGGAATTCGTTCTCAAGATTACTGTGCCGTCTGTAGTTCAGGATTGCAGAGATCTGCCTCAGCCGGCATCTGAACCTCGCACTGACTTTACTCATGAACAATTTTTTATGCTTGCATTTGGTAATATTGCAAAGCTTGAATCTCACAATTTAGCAAGGAATCAGCTGAGCATTGCACATCTACCATGTGCTAGCCTTATTGTAT